CACTTAATCCTAACTACAAATGGAGCTGCAAAACCAATTGGATCAAAAATCATTGCTGCAACATGCAAGACATAACGCTTTGTGCTCTTCAAACTCTATAACTATACATTAATCTTGCTATATCTAAAGAAAATTTATCATTTACTGGGTTCCAGTTCAAGCCTAAAACCTTCAACTGACAATCAGAAGTACAAGTATCATCGCTAAGTCCATTCTGCATCCACAATGACCTCAGTTTCTCAGAATTAGTTTTTAATTTTCGCAAAATCATACTTGCATCCTTTAAAATCGACACAGCTTCAGAAGACAGCTTAAATGCCTCTTCAACACTATTTCCCCCAAAATATAAATCATCTACATACAGTGAAGAGTTCAACATTTCAACACATTCGGGTTTATTATTCCTGTACTGCTTTAAGTGCTTTTTTATTGTTGCACTTAAAATAAATGGCGATGACTTACAACCAAACGGCAAACGTGTCATACGCATTATTTTGTAGTCTTCATTTGTATTTTCTGATAACCACAAGAATTTAAAAAATTTCCTATCCTCTTCTGAAATTCCAATCATCAAAAATGCTTTCTCTATATCAGCACAAAATGCAATTTTGAATTTCCTAAAATTTAAAATAACATCCAGTACATTGGGATTCAAATTCGGCCCAGTCTCTAAATAATCATTCAAAGAGAGATTTAGTTTCGCTTTCGAACTACAATTGAAAACCACGCGAACTTTAGTAGTATCCTTATCGGTTCTCACAACTGCTCTATGTGGCATGAAATATTCCTTCGCATCCCTAGAACATTCTTCAATTATTCCTTTACTCTGTTGATCTTTAATTATGTCCTTGTATTCATTCGCCAACCATTCATTATTTTCGAAATTGTTTTTTAAGTCCTCAAGTCTTTTTTTAGCAAGACAAAAGTTATTTTTTAAATCCGTTGGCTTTATTCCCATAACAAACAAGTTTCGTATCTTCCATCTACAAACCTCAAATTATCTTCAAATTGTTTTATCAAATTCTCATCTGCAATTGATAACTTATAAGAATCTGTAATTCCTAACGATTCTAAATTCCATAGCATCTGCATATCAGTGCCAACGCAAAAATTTGTCGATACTATGTTTCCCCAAATTTCATCCTCAGAATTATTTTGTATGCCCTGGAGTGTAAGGCCAAAAATAGTTTGTATGCAGTTTAGCGTTTTGGTTATTTTTTCTACTTTCGACTCTTTAATGACGTCCCAAAAATAATCTGCTCCTATTAAAATGTGAATACCTTCATCTGAATCCATGCATGCCTCAGCTAAATTTAAAAACCTTTTGCTCAAAAATATTTTGAATATTTATATTGGGAAATGCAATGGGTGCGGCAGTAATCATTTCAGTAACTAATGCTTCTATCTCAATATATTTCTTAGGATCGTTCCTATTTCTCAATGTTAATTTTACTACACTGTAAGTTTTATTTATGGCTTTCGTAGACCCAAAAGCATAAACTGACAATCTTTCCTTTCGAATGGTTTTAAGGCTAAGGGCATCTGCCGAAGATTTTGTTATCCAAGATCTTTCACTCCCGTTATCCATTAACACCCGACATAGTTTAAAGTTTCCTTTCGAACAAGCCAAGACAGTACAAGTTTGCAGTAAAGCACTGCCATTTGACCCCCGCTGAGAGGAGCTGCACTGAGTCACCGCGTTTGAATTCTCCTTCCTTCCTTGGCAGTCATGTGCCCTGACACAGTTATCATGGTGCTAGCAGAAAACCACGATATGGCTGCCCAAACCATAACAGAACCCCCGCCACTCACTCTTGGCAACAAGCAGTCTGTATTATAGGCTTGAGATGGCGTTCTCCAGACGTAAACTCGGCCAGAAGTGGGAAACAATGTGAAAGAAGACTTGTCAGACCATATTACTCGCTTCCACTGCTCTATAGTCCAGGCTTTATGACTTAAACACCACCACCTTCTCCTGTTACGGGCATTAGCATCACTGATGAGTGGCTTCTTAATTGCAGCACGGCCAGCAATTCCCTGTTTATGAAGCTCCCTTCTAATTGTTTTGGTACTCACAGGGTTCGGTAACACAACATTCATTTCAGCAGTAACTTTTGCAGCTGTGGTCTTCTTATTTTTCGTCACAATTGCCCTTAATGATCGTCTGTCACGGTCACTCACGACACACTTTCGTCCGTGCTGTGATTTAGCAGATGTTTTTCCGCTTTTCAAATATGCGGAATAAATCTTCGATACCGTACCTCTTGAAACACTAAACACCTCGGCTACCTTGCTTACGGAAGCACCTACCATACGTGCTCCAACAATTTGCCCACGTTCGAAGTCTGTTAACTCTGACATAATGCAATGACAACCTCACATAACAGTACTCCGACAACAACTGAACTGTTTAGCACATTTACGAAGTTGTATAGATGGCGTCAGTAGTCAAAAATGCCAGCGCCACCTACATATTTCATTAAAATCAATCTTTTTTTTCAAACATGCATTTCACAAGGTGTTTCCATATTTTTGTCCATCCACTGTATATATATAGGAAAGACACATGATAAAACCTGTAACAATGAAGCATGTGCAAAAACATTCAGATTTTCACACTAAGATTTGCTTTTTGAAACTAAAGACATTCATTTAATAAGCGATGTATGACATTTAAACATTGTTTTCATAAAGAATAAAAAGTATAATAAAGGAATTTTGTATGTTATTAATAATTATATAATTATGTGTTATCATGTCTCATTATACAGTACAAAGTCTTTAATCCGGATGTCCATAATCCGGAATGATCTATAATCCAGACCTCAAAGCTACAAACTTTCTGCGTGTGTTTACGCATGCATGTTTAATGTATAATGGACGGTATAAGCTAGTCTAAAATTATCTAATTATCTATTTCAGTTCATGTAGCAGATTGCGTTGTTCCTTAATCTTCTAATTGGATCTGGCTTATTATTTTTTTCAGAATGTTAGAGCAATTTTATAAAAAGTAAGTTTGAACTTTCGATTATGTCAAAAAGAGTTTCCAATTCTGGAGCTGTCAAAGGATCTACAAAGCGAAAGCATGTTTTAATGTACCGCTTTCGATACAGAGAGGTTATTGAAAACGAAAAAATTTCAATTGACAAGTTAGTCAGTATTCTCGACACAGCAATTACAGGACTTGAACAGTGGAACTGAACAAGAAATTATGTCTGTTTATAGAATTAAAGAGAAAGTATTAGCACAAAAAACGAAGCAACTTAAACAACTTACATTGAAAGAAATGTTTAATAAAGTAACAAATAAATTTTAAGCTTTTTTTTTTTTTTTTTTTTTTATATATTATAAATTTTGATACCCTTTAGATCAGAATTGTTCTTTATTTTATAAATTATGGTTTCATATTTTTAATTTTATAATTTCTGCATGCCATCTTACCCGATTTAAACTGATTATCTATAATCCGAAAAAACCCCTAATCCGGAATCGCCGAAGTCCCGACTTGTCCGGATTAAAGACTTTGTACTGTAATATGACCTGCAGATAACCCTGAATAGAACTATCAAATTCATTAATTCATTTTTCAGGACACAATACATATTGTATACACTTTAGGTATAAAAGAGGGTCTGACATAAATCCAGATTTGTACCTGCAGTATATATTTTAACTGTTTATCAAAGCTTTGTCATTTTAAAACATGCTCAAATCCTGTATGTCTTAAATTTAAATTTCATATATATATGTATGCATGATATTAATTATGAAATTTACACGGATTTGATGCATTTACACAAAATACAGTTTTGATGCATTTAGTTACATGTAAATTGACAACATTTTGCTGTTTTCAGTGCAGCATTGTGATTTTAATGATGCATATCATGTTATTTAACAATTTAAATCAATTTTAACTATGGAAACTTTTATTAATGCATACCGAGCACAAATAATCATGAGCTGCATACATATATAAACCAATTCCATTTCTAAAATTATATGCTTAAACAAACAATATATATATTGTAATGCTGTATATCACTGACAGCATTAAGCTGCCACTTTACTTCCTTTTTAAGTGCAATTACCTTGTCAAAAGAAAAACTACCACCCTGAATGCTGATAGAAAGTTAAGTTCAAAACTGGATAACAGAAGAATTCTACAGACTGAAATCTCTTTGGTTTCAATATCCAAGTGCACTGTTATATTGTTAGTCCAGCTTGGTTCACCTAAAATGTGAAAGAGAAGATGGAGGAGGAAAAAAGTAACATGATTGTGATATCAGAAGGAACCACTAGAAAATGATTCACACATTTGATGTATCCATCAATCATCTTTTTAAGACTCAGCTGCAACATCTGTACCATTACTGGAGATCTGACCGAGTGTCTAATAATAATAATAATAATAATAATAATAATAATAATAATTTTAAAAAAACTTCCCATTTTTAATGTGCAAATGGACTATGGTTTGAAGGAATTAATAGTCGAAAAAATAGTACTAAAATTTCAAAAGTCACACTTATTTCTAACATAATGTATCTTGCATCATCTGAGACTGAGGATTCAAGTGACACTAATAACAATGCAGTGTACCTTGCATCATCTGAGATTGAAGATTCAAGTGACACTATTAAAAATGCAGTGTATCTTGCATCATCTGAGATTGATGATTCAAGTGACACTGATAATAATGATGATGAAATTACAAATGAAAAACAAAAGTACCAATTTTAAGTTTCACATGAAGACACGGATTACAGTTTTTGTTATAGTTCTCAGGTACATACAGATAATGATAGAATGAATAATGAGAATGAATAATTCTAAAGCAATTTATTAAAAAAATAGAATTAGCCATATTTGATAAAAAAATCTGGAATTAAAAAGTGCAGCCTAAACATATATAAATAGGGTACTGACTATAAAATACATTTATTAAAACTATCATAATTATAACTTAAATTAAAGAATGACATAGTATTAAATCTTACTTGAATAATATCATAGGCATATCGTTCAGCTCTTTTCCAGTCTCCAAGGGATACTTTCGGAAATTCAAGAAAACTATACCCTGTGCAAGCTTCAGAAGCCAAGTAGAACATATTGGGGAATTTCGCATGGGTAATATCTAACATCTTGTGAGGTGACAGTTTTTCAAGGTACCAATGAAATGCTATTCCTGATACATACTGAGCAGCCTTGTCATCCTTTAAAATCTGATTAAAATTTTATCAACATGATTTTCACAATAACATTTAATTTATACAGAAAAAGTGACATTAAATTATTTTCTGTATATAGAGTTATTCATATTCTATGAAACATTTCAAGTATTTCTAACAAATACACTATGCAAACAACACCAAATTTTACTATGTTGAAAAAGAAATAAACTCCTCTTTCTCTCTTTTATATAAATATATATATGTGATGTACCAGCTTTAGTCGTAGCTTAAAGCTTAAATTATCAGACGATAAGTTAAAAAAAAAAAAAAAAAACAGGATCTATTTATTATTATTCAGGAGAAATAGCAGTTACAAAATCAGATATCCGGAGTAAACAAAAAGAATTACTAATAACTTTTTATATGAAGTTTACTGCATCGTGACATTTAAGAAAAAGCCCCCGATATTCTTTTATAGCCTTTGGAAAGGCGGAGCTTCCAAGAAATGACGTCAGCCTCGTCAGTTAATCCGGTTCGCTTTAAATATTTCCAGAACATTCTAAAACTGTACGTGTAGAAAAGGCAGGAAAAACAACTTGACTACAGGGCTGTGGATTTAATTCCACGTACTTTCAAATAAGAGAACGTCACCATTAAAAATGAAAAGAACATACAGTTAGAAATTTAAGTGTATTCTTGACTATGGAATTTTATTATTACATATATTCCCCCCCCCATCTGAAAAGGCTTGAAGCTGGGCACCTTGAACACAAGACATTCCAGATAGAAAAAATATTTTAAATAATTGCTTAATTTGTTTGAAGAACTCGCATCCAGAATTCGAGTTACAATAATATTAATCTTAAATAGACACACTCACTATAACACTGTCAATAATAATGTCAATATATAAAATTGTAAATAATATACCTTAATATATTGGACATTTATAGATAATAAAGAAAAATAAAATTATGCATGCAGTATTGGGAAAACATTTCTCGAGAACAGTTTCAGTTCTGGATTCCAAGGTCTTTAGAAAGGTTGCTGCAAAACATTAGAGCAGTTCTTATTTTACAAAATCTTTCATTTCCAGTTCGCCGTGGAATTAATATTAAAAATTTCTATTTGAGGTGAGGTATTACTCTATTTTTTTCTTCATATCATTGACAATTGCAATACTTGACTAATTTCTTAACATATATATACACACTCTTTTACAAAAAAAATCGAAGCACCATGAACGAAGTGGTTGTTTTTGATGAAATTGAATATGTGTATAACTCATACACAGATAATAAAATAATTAAAAAATCAAGGTCATAATACCTGTTCACGGCTCACAATCAGCCATTGAGTGTTCAAATTAGAAGTTGGTCGAACCGCCCTTGGTGGCAATGCATGCTTGAATTTGTCGAGGCAAGAAGTGGTAGAGGTTCCTAATGTCATCCTGTGACACATTCTGCCAGGCATTCATCAGTTATCGCTACATATCTGCTATATTTTGTGGTGCCCAATCTGACGGCATACTATGTCCCAGACATGCTCGATTGGTGAAAGGTCTGGTGACCTTGCTGGCCAAGGAAGAGTATCAACCACACAGAGACAGTCCAGAGATATGTGAGCGGTATGTGGCCTGACATTATCTGGTTGGAAAATTTCCCCAGGATGATGTGCCATGAAAGGTAATGCAACTGGCCACAGGATGGTATCAACATATCATTGAGCATTTAAAGATGTACAGAGGATGACTAAAGATGACCTGCTGTCATAAAAAATAGCGCCCCACACCATCACACCACGAGTTATGGCTGTATGCCTTCGTAAAATAAAGGCTGATTTGGACTGCTGGGCCCATCCTCTGCAGACACTAATACGGTGGTCATCTGCTTCAAGAGTGAAGCGGGATTCATCGCCTAACACTATACAGTGCCAGTCTGATGGAAAATGACTTCACTGATGTTGTGTGGTAAAAGGCAAATTTCTTAAAGGCTCTGTGCGCCGCCTCGGACAAGCGCCGTGAGATGGTGGATGGTACAGCAGGATGTATACACATGGCTGTAGTGTGTTGAATAGTCAACAATGATACCATAGGGATGGTTTGGGCCTGGCGAACAATCATCCTATCTTGCCTCACATTTGTGCTCCTTGGCCTTCCAAAGCCTTCATTTCGTTGGCAATTACCTTGTAGCAACTATTGCTGCCAACATCTTTACACAGCAATGTCTGTACGCAGCAGGTGGCGGCCTATTGCTCAGTATGACCAACCATCTTCACACAACCCTAATATGAGACCACATTCAAAGTTGTTTAGTTGTCTGTAAGGTCTTTGATATTATCGTAATGGCATCTTTAGTTGCTTCTTTATGAAATTACAATGGCAGCAACAAAAAAAGATAAATTTTCTGCCTCTCTTACTGGTTTTATACTTTCGAATTGTGCACTAGAAATGCACACAAAATTCTTCTTAATAACACAAGGCTATTATGAGGCTATCAAGGTTATGATCTCAATTCCTGTTCATTTGCCTTGAAACTGTTATCATTTGCATGTTTGATCAAGATGTTTTTGCACACCAAATTTCGTCAAGATCACAAAAGTCCTTCTCTGTGCTTCGATTTTTTTTTTTTTTTTTTTTTTTGCAAAAGAGTAGTGTATATATAAATGTGCATGTGCCCATTTTTGCTGATATATATAGTTGATATTGTACGAATTTTGGATGTGGCTAAGTGCTGGTCCTATGAGTTATGATACCACATTGCTAAACAATTAACTGTATTAACACAACTTACTTATTAAAACACAGAAGCTACTACAAGAACTCAAACTTCACAGAACAGATGATAAAAATAGTGTGTTGTCAGCTGGTAGTGCGTACAACTATTGCAAAACAATGTGTTGTCAGCTGGTGGCTAGCGCAATTGAACTTGAGACAAGCACAATATTTATGCAATAATTTGTTTTAACAAGCATGCTAGTACATGATAACTGATAAAGTCCACAGTATCAGTAATATGATAGCAGAGATCCCAGAGATTAGTGGGAAATAAAGACAGTATCTGTCTTCCCCAATATAAATCTTATTATGATTTACAAATGCCTGCAGCACCAACAAAAGCAGATACAATGAATTTTGTGAAACATATAAAAACATTATTGAATTCACCTCAGAGCAGGGCCAGGATAAAGGTGAGGCATTTACTTCAGGTGAATAATTAGAAAGGGCACCAAATTAGCTCAGGAAAATAAGACTTTTTTACTTTTTAAAAAAGGAATTGTGATTGCTAACTTTGAAACACGTGAGAAAGATTTATTTTATAAAAAATTTAAGGAATAAAACTTTATAAGCACTATTTATGACAACTTAAAAGTCAGGATAGTGCAGCTCAGTTTACATTTTGACACAGCCTTGTGTTAAAATAATAAGCAGCAATATTACTTGAATATGAATTAAAAGACCTATTTTATTACTTTATGGCAATCAAATTTCTTTAAATCATATTTTTATTGTAGGAGTTCCATAAATTTCTAGAAAATGAATTAAGAAGAATTTTGTGTTAGAAACAATCCAGCTGAATTAAGAGGAGAATAAGTGGGATTAATTTGCTCTCCAAATGTGTTTTAATTTCACAGTGTTGTATACACTGTACACTGTTTCCAAACACTTACTTTTGGAATTACCATAGTAAAGCTGATTTACATTTGTGGTAATGAGGTGCATAGTCTAAATATAGCCAAGCTACCAACATCAGTAGTTTCATATTGTTTCCCTTTTACCTAAAACGTAGCTCTTATTTTGCCATAAACACAAAATAAGCTTTTCTAAGAACTAAATTTATTTTTGTAAGTTTAAAACTACGAAGTTTGTGAAAATGGCATCTGGAGATTTAACTATGATGTCCAAAAATAAAATGTACTGTATTATCAATCTCTTTCTCCATTTTCCATTTGAGTTTTTGTTCTGTTGTATCTGCATTTAGTTTCTCTCAGAAATGTGCAACTGATTTCATTTGCAATGGCTCCTTGCATAGTTACAATTGTTGCTAGATGGAATGAATGAATTGAGACCATAGTTTCATTTTCTGTTAAGACAAGAATGTGAGACATAAGGTGAGATATGTCTTCTCCTTTTCTGAGTTTTTTAATTGTTCATAAAATGATTTGTTTAAAATCAAAGACATTTTTAAAAATGTCTAAATTTTGATTTTTAATGGAGGTGGAAGAATTAGGCCAAACTATGCAGGCTAATTCTAAAGAAACTAGTTTTAAATTATAGAAGGAGTCAGTAATAACTTAGGTTCTTAAATAATAATTGTGATCAAAGAAGTATTTTTCCACCAGTAGACAAGTGGATAAGAACACTGGTAGTTTAATTTGTACTCATATTCCAGCAAATAGATGACTGCATGGGTGCTTTTATGTTTTTTCCAATGTGAATATGAGGCAGTTTCACTATGAAAGTTCTATATGGAGCTATTCTTTCCCTTAAGCAGATAGCCTTTACCAGCTTTGCCTCAGCTAACCAGAAAAATAAAAAAATTATTTAATTAATGATTTTAAATTATTTAACTTTTAAAGTGGGATATAAAAATCAGTATCTCGTATTTTATATAATTTTTGCTAGATATTATTGCTCAGAACATATATTAATGCACCAGATTTACATAAGGCGCCAAATGATAAATCTTTGCAGTGAGCTGAAAATAATAGCATCTTGAAACAGAATAGTAAAAATCTTTATATATGTTATCTACCTCAAATTTAATACTACAAGAAAAGGAAAACTTCACAATCAAAAACTGTTATTGTGCCTGCACATAAAGCTGCAGTTTTGATCATGTGTTCAAATTCTGTTGGGCAAGCTTTCATAGTTTTCTCTACATGTACAGTAAATAAAGTTTGCCATAGAAAATCCTCCATGAAGACATCGTTTTATTGAACCAAACAAGCAATCATAGCAGAGGAATAATCATTTTATTTATAACAGACCAGAGGAAAATATTTGTAATTAATGTGGAAATTTAGCTTTAAAAATGAATACATTAACAGCA